ATGAAGAAGGATTCTTATAAGCGAGTATACAAATGATGTGGACATGTACATTGGTGAATGAGCCATTAGTTACTAGTTAGATAATAGGTTGCTCTTTGCTAACTTTGGACCACATATAAATGTACTTGAACAAATGATGTATTTACAAGAATTGGGGTCACTTTAAGCAAGAACCTTCTTATGAGTAGCTTATAAATGCAAATATGTAGCTTAGTAGGGCATACGCATAGGGTACTAATGCATTTCTCGGATTTTTTAGTTAAGAAATGGTGGTTGTTCATGCTGAAGAAAAGTAGTACATGTGTATCATATGGCGAGCCTTTTGATGATTTCTACGGTGATTTAACCGAGGAATAGATGTGTAAAAGTGTTGTATTCCTAAATGCACCTAATAGATCAACAACAAACATATGTAGGTCTTAGTTAGTTCAATAATGATGCTAAATACGGGTTTGCTTCTAATGTTGGACAAAGATCATGTTTATTACAACTACGAGTAAAACTACTTTCTCATACTTGTAGGATTATTAATAAAAAAAATACTAAAAGATAACTAAAGTTTACTATTTGATTTATGTTAGGAGTACTATTAACCAACATGTAATTTGCATCAACTTGTACATTGTATTAGTAAATCACGATCCTAATATGGCATGTAAAAACGAACTTCAGACATGCTTTATGCGTGTATTTTCCTTTCCTTATTTTGTACTAAAAATTAAATCAATGATACACTATAAAATATAATTCATATCACCACAACATAGGCACTTACATATTTTCAATAATTTGATGTGAAAAAGAATCTAAATATCTTAATAAATAGATAATCAAAATAGCATCAAGATTCGAGGATAGTCATAAGTGTAGTAAGAATACATCAAAATGAAATCATGGCAAAATAACATCTAAATATAGTTATTACAAAGTATCGCTTTATTGAATTCAAAATTTAAAACCTTCAAACAAGATTTACAAATAAGACTATTAGGTTGAATTCAATGGAAACGTCAAACATCCATTATTGGTTAGTTCGATGAGGTACAAATAGCATTAAATAGGCTTACAAAGGCTATCTTGAGCAAGTGTACTATTAAAATAGAAATAGCCATCGAACCTTTCAATGTCTCATAGCATAACATATTTTTATTGATCAAAAAATTCTAGAATTGCTTCTCAAAAGACAAATTGAACAAGAAACAAAGGAATTTCAGATTGACGATAATGTCAATTGTAGAGAGTAAAAGACATGAAAAGGAATTATCTAATCGAGTTATTATAATTTACAAAGTGTAAAGAGCTATGGATTACGAGTGAGCCGGATAAGAAACATCTTAAGCACAAAGTTAATGATATTAAGTCATAAGGATTGCAAGGAGAAAGTGGTATTGACAAATAACAACATAAGTGGACTTCATTATTTCGATTTTGATGGTGAAATTGGTAATGAAAAATTGAAAATCTCACATCATCAATTCATTACTACGTGTACTATCACCAACAAAGAAGAATTCTTGCCCAATGCATCCGATATTCAAAAGAATTTGTTTACCCATGTACAATGAACAACCGAGTACCAAATTTCGTTTATCCAAACCATTTTACCTTATTGATAATCTATGCCCGATGTGTTATTGTTATCGGTAGAATAAAAAAAAAAAGAGTAAAAGAGGTCGACCTTAAGAGAGCTCGCAAGTAAAGGAAGAGACGAGGAGTAGCTAAGGCCACCCGAGCAAGAGGAGGGTGGTAAGCGATGAGTGATGACGGATGATCATGACTCTGTGAGATGAAAGGAAGATGATAGAGAGGCGGGTTATTGGGTTATAACTTGTAAGGGGTGAGCAAATGATGAGTGGTGAATTTGGAGGAGAAGCTGGAGAGTGAAGAAAAAGGGAATGAAGTCGAAGGAGGTTAGGGAAGAAGACAAAAGGAGAAGCGAGTGTGTGGATGGTGGCTGCATGTTCGATGTTTTAGCGAAAAATGAAAGAGCGAAGTTAGCCAATTAGGGATTTAGAATTAGATTAGGAATTTTTTACCATTCATTTCGAGTTTTCAATCCAAACTAGAATTTTTTTCCAAAAATTGAACCGAAATAATTTTGATTTTTCGATTCAGTTTTAAATTGTATAATTTTAAATTCAAAATCGAACTAAATTTTATAATTCGATCCAATTCTATTTAGTTTCGATTAATTGTACCATTTGCTCACACACATAGATAAAGTTTGCGCAACTCGTTAAAAGCAATGAGGACTACCCACCTATTGGGATGGAGTTGGCTGACACATAGATTATAGTGTCTAAACACGATACTTGAAAAATCAAAAAAATAGAACGTATACCTATAAGTGATCATCCATACAGGAACGTAAATGTCTTGATGCCCGTCATTGTACTTGGAAGGTTAGGCACTGACCGTATCACTAGCAATGGGATTTCTAGCCTCATACCTAGAGCCCAACCTATCATCATATGCCCTTAACCTAGCGACACTCACCTACTAGGATGGACGTCTTTATAAGTGGCTTGGGCTGATCTAACAAACCCTGCAAAAACATCTTGGGCCCCTAAACTTTCAGAGATCCCAAGTCTACTACAGGAAAAGGCCCAAGAACTAGGTCAAATCCTTTACGCGTTGGTCATGTTCTCAACTAATGCACTCCAAAAGAAAAGCAACAATTATGATGAAGACCGCTCTCCAACCAGAAAAGAAAAAGACGAAGAAAAATCAGATGGGGTTTGAAAAATGATCTCGCTAAAAACCCATAAGACCTTTTTGATGAAGATCACACTCCAGTCAGAAAAGAAAAGAAAGAAATGAAGTAAAAGAAAGAGTCCTAATTTATATAACGTCCCGAAATCCAGATCATGAGTCATCCTCAAATTCATCGTACCTTAACACATTCCTTGCGGAAGTAAAGAGGTGACATGATTGGTGGCGAGCCCCTTTTTCAAATTCGAGAAGACAAGAACAATTGGCATTCCCTCCTCTTCTCACGCACCAATTGTTGAACTCTCCTAGAATAATGCAGTTTCCAATAAGCAAACCAATAATGATCCTGCCACTTTTCCAGTTGAAAATCAACAAAAAATGATAAAGCCTAAAATCTCTTGAAATAAACAAGTCTTTGCCATCATGAAACGCCTAAGACTTATAGAAGGCAACTAACGTAGTCGAGAAAAATAATGGACCAAACGAGGGACACATCATCAATTGTGCTTCTCACATCCGAGGGCCTCCCGAATGGGCAATTAAATGCTTGTCTAGCAGCTCGTGGTTGAGAATGCAAGCGAGCATAATCACCTAGGAAACCTGAGAAGCCTGCATTTAATGAATGTATATTCCAGCCACCTTCTTAGTTACATCAGCAACACACACATACATTACACCTATTACTACCAAACCGCCTGTTCGTCACACCAAAGGACGCTAATCGTCCTACTTGTCGACTAAAGCTATCAACATTAGAGGAATGGATGATTCTGCCCTTTCCACCATGAAGGTAGCCAAAGTCTCGTCTATATGTGAATTCTAATCACCAATGGTTCCAGGTTCTCAATTCTGACAATTCTCTACCCTTCTAAAACACCTGTTATTTATCTTCTTCTTTACTCACGCGTACATAATGTTCTGTAATAACCTAATCAGACTATTTTGCCACTCTGGCACTCTCTGATCATTAATTTGATTGTGGAGGGTTTTTCAATCCACGAAAGAGACTTGTTTTTGCAAGCACTTGGTGTAGAAGATCACAAGGACTCCATTGACCTCTCTTATTCAATCTAGCCATAAAGAGCCTCATCACTCGTATTTCACTAGCAGAGTTTTCTTGAACTTACCGATGTAAATAACAAACTATTGTGCTGTTAAGAACTCTTGGTTGTACCATGAGATATTATGCAGAACTAGTAGGACTAGCATAATAGATAACAGGACTAGTAGAATGAGAAGGACTTGTATTCCTAACACACTTCTCTAAGTGAGATGTATCATATTGTTTTCGGTACCGACACAAGCTTCCCGTATATTGCAAGCTCTTCTAAATTAGGCATTGCAGTTGCTTCCCAGCCTAGGTTACATAGGTTTGCGGCTATTTTAATGCTTTCATATCAATCTCTGATTAATGCGAAAGGACAACTTGAAGTCCAACATGGTATGGTTGGCCAGATATAGTCCTTATTGCTATTGTTTATTAGCAAAACGTCGTACAATGTAATATGAGCAGTAAATTCTCTTTATATTTATATAATTAAATAAGTTTTTAATATATTCTTATGTTTTAAATTTTTTTATTAAGTTTTTTTTTATAGTATTTGAATTGATAAATATATTTTATTATAAAAAAATGCTCTTGAATTATATAAGAATATAATTCTAATTTTTTTTAAAAATATTAAAACTGTAAGAAATAAAGATTTTAATAATTGAGCAATTTTGAAATTTTTGTATTAATTTCTTAAAATATTTTCCGTAGTTTTTTATTACTCCCCCTGTTCCCCAAATATTGTCTTTTTTTATTTATTTAAATGTTCTAAAATACATGTCTCTTATAAAAAATCAAAGGATTGAATACTATATACATGTTTATATATATATGTTTGTTTTGTTCTCTTAATCTGTATGTAAAAGTCCAATGAGACTCTTTTGTGAGATGAAAGAAGTATATCTTTATATAACTGAGGATCGAGAGCAATTGGATTTCACATTTAACCTGTGTAAATCATAAATGATGGTGCCTTTGGTTTTTTCTCTTAGAAGGCACCGTAAGATTAAATATATCACATATTCAGCATTAAGATGGAAAATTACCTCCTTTTTATGAGAAAAAAAACGAAAAGTACTTAATCATGAAAACAGAAAACAGGAAAAAAAAAAACCTCGTACAGCAAAGAGAGGGAAAAGTGAAAAAGAGAACGAAACTAGGAAATAAACTACTAGTTGATCACTTCACGAAAGGATATTAAGGTCGATCTTCATCCAATCAGCCCAGCCTAGCGCACCTAAGCCAATGACCAAGTCACATCCACAACACCCAAGTCTTTGTTCAGTCTCAAAGCTTCCCAAACCGCATCAGACCCATCAACAATATTGTTCCTACAAGGTGGCAAGCCAGCATGTTCGCTGTCGCATCCATTCCTCGAGTCACACTCATCCACCACCTTAGCTACCACGGTCCTTCCATTTCTTGCCGTAATCTTTATCATCTTTCCACATCTTGATCGTCCAGCATACCAACCAGTGGAAAGCGCCACTACCAGCTCCGTCTTCTCATGAAACTTCTCGTCACACTCGGATGGGGCTCCACCATCCCCTCCTTCGCTAAAGTCATTGAGTGTTAGACTAGCTTTAGTAAAAGAAGTTACTGGAGGGGAACACGCGAACTGGGGAAAAGATTTTCCTTTGCATTTAAGGGTTCCAAAGGGCCTGCAGTCGCTATTTGAAGGTGGTGCAGGACCTTTTCCGGTGCAAGTGAGAGTCTCAACATTAGGGTCATCATTGCATTTCCCACTGATGCAAATGAGTTGGCCGGAGCAGTCATCCTCCGTTTTACATGGGCCATTGCAGGAAGAAATGGCAGTACTTGAAGGTAGTGGAAAAGAGATGATAATGAAAACAAGGGAAAGAGACACAAAAGGAATTATGTTTTCCATATATGTGTGTATGTAAGATCAGCTTGCGAGGCTGGAGATTTGTGATTTCGAGTAAAGAGTGTGCATGTATTTATAGTCAGCGTTAGCAGTACAGAAGCTTCGATGCTATACCTTACAAATTAACAGTATATCCGGGAAAAATATATAAAAAAAGAGCAGTAACATCTAGGTTTTTGACTCTATTATTTGTAACAAATGAATGCCTCTTTCTGTTTAACTTATTCCACAATCAAGATTCTTCTGATTTTCCTTATTTTTTTCTAAAATAAAAGGTATTATTTAAGAAAAATGCGTTGTTTTGTTTTGTTTCTTAGTACGTAATTGTTGTTTTTAGAATCTATTCAACTTTATTGATGTTTTTTATCATGTCTTTAGAATCTATTTCATTTAATCATAATTTTAGAAATGGGAATGAAGTGACATATTCTTAATTAATTAAAAATAATTTACATAAAAACAACATTTTATAGTTTGGTTTTAATTTTTTTTTCCTCAAGGTTTTTTTTTTAATGCATCTAAAATTTATCATAATTTATTTTTTTTCTCAAATACCAATTATCTGTTTTTTTAATTCATCTAATCCAGTTTTCTTCTTTAAAAAAAAAAAAAAAATTGTCTACACCAAAACATTTTCCTGACTTTATGCGTTATTGGGAGGGATTTGAAAATCATATATGCATTGTCTAATATATATAGAATTGTTAGAAACTATAATATAATATACAACCTGTCATACTGTAATATAATCATGTATAGTAGGTTCATAAATTTTAGTATAAAAGTGATGGCATAACTAAATGTTAGTTTCTTGTGTACACCAAAATGATGGAAAAACTTTTTCAAACTCATTTTTCATGCAAAAGCAAATAATTCTTTTTGAAAAATTCATTTTCTTGTAAAAAGTAAAAAATAAAAAATCCTTGGACTTTTTACTTCGGCACATATTCGCTTGTAATTTTAGTGAGAAATGTTTAGCAGACAATTAAATTCATGGGTTAAATAAACAAGGCACAAGTGTAACACGTTGGCCCATTAGACTGAAGAGTAACATTAGATTCAGACATATCTAATTAACTTTTTGTCTAGGAGGATGTTTTGGGTCTATAAGTTGTCTTCTTTTTGTCAAAATCCCCTTCTGTTTTGCACATTTTCGAGCTTAATTAATATTTCTGATTCAAGCTGAAAATTTCGAATCCATATCCTCTTCGCATTTTCACCCTATTAATTGCTGCGGATTCTAATTAATTCTTTTTTTTTGCCAAATTAGCACTACCTTTGTATTATGTGCTGCAGGACTGAAGTCATTTAGTTCACTTTTTATTAAAATCAGACTTTAACACCTCTTTCTTGAGTCTCTTTCTTGTCATTTGAAGATTTTTAAGGCTCTAACAAATCCTGTTGATCTCCTGATACGATCTTTATGTTTTCATAATCAACAACCTTCGTGAGTTAAATAAACAAAGAAGATATCTAAGAACGCATTATCAAAGGTGCTTTCACCATATATGCATGGACAAGAATTTTGTCTCTTTTACATCGATCTCCCCATCATTTACTCTACTTCAATGAAACCAAGCTGATTGTCTATGTATATATATAATCATGCAAATAAAACCAACAAGGCAATTTTACTAACATGACAACCAACTTAATTAAGCATAGCATTAGCCCGTGACTCATATGTCTGTACAGAAAGCCCACTTGCAATATTACTTCTTTGATGGGGTCAAATGATAGTAAACACGTCCAACATGAACAAAACAGCATATTTGACCATTTCAACATGTTTTCAGAATTGAACAAGACTGGCTTGTACTTGTTAATTTGTAACTTTATTGCAATTTGCACAGACATGTTTATGTGCTTTACCGTTTCAACTTATATAGTTTTGTTTCCGTTGACAAAATCAAATGATGTTCCCCCGCTTAGCCGTTTTAATAGCAATTTGAAGTAATTATATTTATAATATCTTTATGTAGGCAATTATTTTGTGATCAGGAAATTTACATTGAAATATAATGATTAAAATTTAAAAAAAAATGTTTACCAGTAGAATCAGCATATCAAGAATATTTAGAAATGCAATATATCAATTAGAATGCAGTTTATGAATTGTTTTAAATCAAGTTACCGCACCCCATTCTATCTCCCTTCAACCAATTAGAATATATATATATATATATTTCAATCCTAAATGTCGGGTTTTCTTTTTCACTAGACTCGAATATATTTATGAAATGCAATAATTATCGGCTAGAAGCCACCATTGGTCTCTTATTTTAAAATTTTTTTCATTTTGACCTTTTATACAATTTAGGAACAGATAGAACCTTCTATTCCAAATTTTGGTGGATTCTAATCCCTCTTACCATATATCTTCATCAATAAAGGAATGGATGGTTAACTAAACTAGTTAATTGGCTCGAATCAAAGTGTTGATAGCACTGTATATATATGTATGCAATGAAGTTAAAAATAAATTAGAGAATATAATTTTTTAAAAATTAATAAAGTAATCTAAATATTATTAAATGTTGTTAGTGTAATTAATGAAATAAATGAAATATCATTGATAATATATTATAATAGATTCATATATATACTTGGAAGCGAAAGCAATCCACATGTCCAACTATAAATCTCATTAACAGTTCAAAAAAATAAAAATTGAGACAAATAAATTAAAAATTGACGTAAGTTTAAAAAAAAAAAAAAAAGTGTGCAAGAAAAAAGAAGCAAAATGTAAATACAAACCTGGATGAGCACAGTTGGCAGTGGCCAGACCGCCAGAGAGGAGGGGGCCATGGTCAACCAGGCCCAAAACATATATGGTCTATGTGTAGTTGTTTGGAAAAAAAGAGCCCACCAATTAATAAGCAGTGTATTGGTGGGCTGGCCCAAAATGAGAAAAAAAATCAGTAGATTTAGAGAAGACCCGAATTTCAGTGCGACTTATTCTAAACTTACAATTGAGTGCTCTATCTTTAATTTTTAACTAATTAGGGGGTCGTTCATAATCTTCCCTGATTTGGTCAGCTTCGTTCCATACAGATTATCCTAGGTGGCTGGCATTTGCTGATCACTTCCACCCAAATTTGTTCCGTGTGTTTTTGTTTCAACCAGTTGTCTTTGTAAGAACCCAATTTTAACCTCTTACTTTTCCAAAAATGTTAAAATTCTAAAAGTTTATATTTTCACTCAATTTACCTGAATTTTTAAAATTTAAGTCTTTTACGAGTTTTCATAAGTTATAACCGAGCATGAAAAAAGTGAAAAAAAATCGATGCATAAGAATCAAAAAAGAAATGAGTCAGAAAAAAAATAAAGAGAAAAAGAATTAAAAGCATACAAGTCATCCCATTCTCATTTAACCAATCTTAATTTGATTTTTCTAGTTTAGACTAATCCAGTTTAGGTATTAAGCAATCCCTAGCCATGCATCACTAATTCTTCTAGAAAAGATGAAACAAGACAAAAGACTGTCTCGGTTCATTCCTCTATCTAGGTATATAAAAAAAAATTCAAAAAAGTTAAAAGAAAGGTCAATTTAGGGTGAAAAATGTTAGCATTTTTCACCCAATTTTTTTCCAAAAATATACAAAAGAAAAGAAAAGAAAAGGGATTAAAAAATAAAATGGAGGGATGCAATTGAAAAAAAAAGAGAGAAATGATCAAAATAAAACAAGCTTGCGAGATGAGGGATCGAAAAAAACTTCAACAAAAAAACCAAAAAAATCAATATAAATACCATTTTTCTCTAAAAATAACGACCACTTTCTCTCTCTAGAATTGCAGCCACTTTCACTCACTAAAACGGATTCGACCAGCTCTCTCTCTCGAAAATTTCGATCAACTCTCCTCCATTCCTATAGCCGCCAATCACCTTAGCTCAAGCCATACCATCCTCCTCCAATCGACCAACAATCGGGATAGCTCCTCCACTTGAAGCTACTACCCGTCCCGAAACTAACAACCCCTCTAGCCATCGATCTAGCACGACCCACAACCCGGTCTCCTTCCAACCATCCACCGTAGTAGTCGCCCGATGTCTAGCAACCTCCAACTGCCATTCCTCCTCCATCGAAGCTCCATCGACATCCGAGTAGCCTCTAGCCGCTCTTCCGCCATCCACCTATAGTAAATTGATAAGTAGTAGCCCGATCCACCCGATCCAACCTTCCTCCCGCTTGTTCTAGCCAATCCGGCCATTCCAAACCGATCAAAACTAGTTCCAATCCAACCTAGCAACCAACGGGAGCAACCCTCTAGCTCGATCAAACTCCAGTAGCCCCAATTCAATCACCAATGACCATTTTTCCTTGCATCGAGTCTAGATCTACAATAAGTAGTCATCGCTCCTCCTTGATTGATTGAATAATCGATCTCTATCGGAGTTGAAAAAGTCGAAGCGATCCTAATTTCACAATCAAATTTTTTTGGCCATTTCTCATTTACGGCAAGTAATTTATTTTTTTACTTTATTAATTTATTTATTTTAATATGTAAATTTATTAAATCGATGCCATATGTAAATTAATTAAACCGTTGTTGTGTGCATGGTTTGATTCAATCTGCTACTATGTGCATGGTTTAATTAAATTGTCATTGTGTTTGTATGATTTGGTCGATATTTATGATCGCTCGCTGTGGTAGTATGGTTTATTATTGCTAGTACGACTCTTAAGTCGCGTAGATCCGAATCTTGTTTTTGGACAACTTATGCCAATCATAACGATTAATTTGAACGGTGTCACCAATTCGCCTAAAAAATATGATTTTTGGGTTGCATCAATTCGAACTTCGTTTTAGCATCGTTTTTTCCCATTGCAAGGATTAATTTATATCTTGTTAATTTGTTTTTTAAAAAAGCGTGACTATTAAGGCACGCTAGTCCGAGCCTCGTTTCAAACTATTATTGCACATTGTGCGATTAATTTGATATTGTGTTGATTTTGCTTAAAAATCACGATATTTAAAATCGTGTCGATTTAAACCTCGTTGTTAGATCGTGTTTGCCTATTTGTCAATATTGTCTATTTTGCCTAATTGTCTATTTGTCACTTTATTGATTTTGCCTATTTGTTGATTTTTCAATTTTATCGATTTTGCCTAGTAACCTATTTGCCTATTTGTCGATTTACCAATTTTGTCTATTTTGCCTATTTATCGATTTTTCCTATTTACGGATTTTACCGATTTATCGAATTTATCTATTTTACCTATTTGCCTATTTTGTTCATTTTATCTATTTTCCTATTTTATCGTTATTTGCCTATTTTTTACGTTGGCCTATTTGCTTATTTTTAAGCTTTGTTTTCATGTACGTCATTTAAGATGCATTAACCACATATCTTTACATTCACCATATCTTTTCATTTCTTAGCTATTCATTACAAAGTAAGGATAAAGTCTCCGATCGACCAAGTCCTAAATCACTTGACTAGTAGGCAAATGTTTAGAAATAGGTATAGGCTTTTATCATTAAAAAAAAATCAAAAATCAAATCAATATGGTATACAATACAGACTTGTCTTAGATAGGATGAGGTAGGATGATTTTTAATCTTTCTTATATATAATAAACCCTTTATTCGAAACTTTAAAATAACTAGTCATAGGGTTTTCTAGTAGCCACCATAATAGGTGTCCGACTCCAATTATTTTTACCTATTTTTCTATTTTCATCCAAAATCATCACTCCGTGAAAGAATGATGACTCCACTAGGGACATACTTAGGGTGAGGCTTTGTATGTAATTGTTGAATTTGATTTCCGATGATATGATGAATTTTTATACTTGTACATCGATTTATGTAATTTGTCTCGCCTTGTTTAAATTCATGTCTTTTTATCATTGTTTTCCTTGTATTTTTCTTTTTTTCTTTTTTATTTTATTTTATGTCTTTGTTTTTATTTTTGATTTTTTTAACCGGATATGGAATAATGCCTATACACGTACTACATTCATTGTTACTTTTTATCACACACTTGCCTCGGGACTTAGGGAGGTAGTAATGGTGCCTCGATGGGTTTCATCCTGGGTAAACACTCATGAAATCTCAACTCTTCTAGCTAGTTGTTATCGCATGATGGGTAATCGATGATTTTTGTGCTTACAAATCATCACCTTTAGAGATCCCAACGATTCTATTATGATTCGTCAGGCTTGAAAAGACCTTGTTTGAGACTTAGATAGATCCTATCTCGTTCACTTAATGACTTAAAACCAATCCTTAGGATCATCACTTCCAAGTAAATTCACTAGACAAGTCATATGTATTGAAACCTTGACCGATCAATTTGATCATAATGTGTTCGGGATGAATGATAAGAGGATTTAAGTTCGGTTTCTACAATATCTAAATATAAATAAAATTTCGAAGCTTGATCAAAATATTTCAAGGGTTACTAATGAAACCCAATTTCATCTTTAAATCAATTTAGGATAATTTTAAAATGTCAAAGAATTGATAATTGGATCCTTTTATAATCCTCATATGAAGGCTATTCAATATCTAGTCCCAAGTGTTGTTTTATTTTTAATATATTATCGATATCTTATATTTATTATCTTTTGTCTAAGCAAAAAAATAAATTGATTTGTCAAAACTATACTTTCCTTATGCATTTACCACACTAGAGTAAGAGAAAAAAATGAAAAACAAAGAAAAGGCTCTACTCGAGCAAAATCACTAGAAAGAGATAGATGTCTTAAAGGGAAAGGTTGCTAGCTAGGCTTATCACTCTTTTGGAACAAAGTTAGTAAAATCATATGTCTTTAGAAATTATTGTCCAAAGAGAAGTCAACCAATCATCATCTTTTTCAAAAATATTCACCACCATGTCACCGTTGATCATTTAGACTACTACTCCGAGTACCACCTTTTGGTATGCCTCATTTAGAGCCTATCGGTACTACTAATTATGTCAACTATCTTAAACCAAGAGGAACATATGAGTTTGCTCCTAAATCTTCAAGCCTTATCTTAGTATTACCTCGAGTCGTCCAAGCTTCGATGGCAATAATTACCGATCTCATCGTTGAAGAGTTGGCTAAGGAAAAGATAGCCTCGGGACTCAAAACGAGAGAAGCTTATAGTCATTAAGGAGCATTTAAGAGCTATCAAAGGCATATACATATACGACCCACTCCTCGGTAGAGATAAATGTCCGGTGTCAAATGTGGTGATTCCTAAGAAGTTCAAGGTGCTTGAACTTATCAAATACACCGAGAGTCAATATCCCAAGACCCACCTAAGAAACTATCCGAACAAGACGGATGAGGTAGTATATGATGAAAAGTTTCGGATCCATTTTTTTCCTAAAAGTGTTGACAAGTCCGCCATCAATTTGGTTTATTAACCTTAAACAAACCAATATCAAAAAGTGAAAGCATTTGGTGGATGTATTCATAAGGTATTAAAAATTTAACCTAAAAATAACACTTGATAGATCGAGCCTATAATATATGAAAAAAGGCTTGAAGGAATCTTTTAGGGAATATGTTCAACGATGATGAGAAATAGCATCTTGTATTCACCCATCCCTTTACGAAAAAGAATTGGTTACTCTCTTTATCAACACCTTTAAGGTCCCATATTACAATTATCTACTAAGTAATGGATTAAATAACTTTTTTAAGATAATGTCCGTTATAGATCAAATTAAACAAGCCATCAAGTTAAGAAGGATTGTCGATCCTTTAGAATCCGAACACAAGAAGAGTAACTTTAATTAGAGAAAAGACCCGAGTTGCATCAAATTGGATGATCTTCTTTCCTTAGAGGACAATGGAATAACTCTTGA